TGTTATTCTTACATACTCGAACTTGATTCTGTTCTAAAATTTTAGAGTACGAAGTTAGAGAAAAGCCAACACTTAGCACATGGATGCAAGGTGGATTAGACTATATAATGTTGCAGTACTTGAACACCGATGGTATCCGTACCATTGGTAGTGTCCTTGGTCAAAGTATTGCTCTTGATTACTATGTACGCCAGGTATGGTTCATCTAAGCTAGGGAATCCTGACTTAATTTTTTTTATTTTTTATTTTTTATATTTTTCCACTACGGTTTCAAGTTTTTTCCATAACAGTGTCACTTGAAACTTTTTTCTTTTAGGTTGATGGAATGGTTGCAGAATTTACGGACATTAACCGAGAAATGGAAACAACTGGAAAATTTAAAATGCAGAGGAAAAAACTATTTCAGTTGGTGGGAAAGGCAAATTCTAATCTTGCTGATGTGATTCTTAAACTTGGACTCTTTGAGAGGTACTGTTTCAATCATCTGCATTGAGGAATAACTGTTTTCTTTATAACTTTGCGTTTCAGACTTCATTAGTCGAGTTAATCTGAAAAATATAATTGAGAATGGGGGTGTAGTTATTCACAAATTTGATTAAGCAAGCATGTTCTTCCAGCATGTACAGACCACTAAATCAAGGGGAATGTGATGGGGTTTACAATTTGTTAAAACCTGATTAGTAACTTGCATTTTTGTCTTGTGGTAGCTTGTAAGAACGAGTGCTTTGGTACATGTCTATGCCTAGCGGTACAATCATTCGCACCCCGGGAAATGTCATTAAAGATGTTGTTCAGGAGGCAATAGTGATTTATATGTCAATCCATTCTTATAGCCATAGGTATTGGTTTTACTTTTTGTGGAGAAGAAAGAAAAGACATTGTTATAATTGGTATTGGAAACTGTGGTTGGTACAAGCTGCATTTAGCGTCGTACTCGTACTATTTGAACTATCTAGCTTGTTTATTTTCTTTCCTCTTCCGTTCAAGGTTATTTTTCTATGTTTTGATTTGTCTCGTGGGAATTTTGATTGGCTTTACAGATCAGATATAGCTTGGAAAGATGCAAAATATGCTCAGATATGGGAATATCTCAGAGATGAATTCGAGTTAACTCAGAGATTCGCAAGTCTCGATTTCAAGTTGAAGTTTGTGGAGGTACAGTAGCTTCTTTGTGGATATTCTTTCTCGTATAATTAACAGTTGTTGAATCTGGAAATTTTTCGTTTTCCACACGTATATGAATGTTGTAGTTACATTTTGCCCCCTCTCTTTGCAGCATAATATTCGCTTCCTTCAGGAAATTCTTCAAAATAGGAAATCAGATTTTTTGGAGTGGCTCATAATTGGCTTGATAGGTGCTGAAATCCTTTTATCTCTTTATGACATTGTGCACAGATCAACTTCACTATAGCACATGGTATTTGGTGCGTACGTCTACTCAAGCAAAGCTCTGATTGTTAATGTCAAAGTTACTGTTGTATATTTTTACTGCTTATTATATTGGATTTTTGATTTCGCAATTCGTAATTTTGGTTCTCTGAATCTTGTAAATATTATTTGAATTAACTGTGCAAATTTAATTATCATATATTGAATAACGAGTTTTATTTATTTTTAATTTTTTTTTGGCGGTCTATGAATCATTTCTCTTTGCAAAACATGAAAATCTCTTCTCAATTGCCTCGTGTTTTGGGTAACGGCGACTTTTAAAGAAGGGAAAGTTACTGACTTAACTTTAGAGTTTAGGGTTTATTTTTATCCTTTATTCTTATTTAATACCGTTTTAACTAGTTATTTGACTAAAAATTAGTAGACTAATGTTTTTGAGTCAAACTTCAAAGAGGGGTACTATTTAAAAAGGTATTTGTCTCCTTCAGTTAGCCTCAATATCTTAAAAGGGTAATCATAAAAAAAAAACCTAGTCATATTTTTTCTTTCCTAATGTGTCGTCTTAAATGCTTAGTCTAGTCATATTTGCCACGCTTTACTTAAACCTCTCATATATATATATATATATATATATAATATATTTCTTTTTTTGAAAAAAGATGAAGGA